CTGTTCCCCTCCTGGTCCTCTCCCCTCCCCTTTTGCAATGAGCTTTGTTTTTCTTGCCTTCTCAGTTGGGTAGAGGAGGGAGAAGAAAGAGGGAGATTATTTATCACTGAAAATGTAATTTGAATTTCAGAAAAATCAAAGATCCAGCAAAAGAGACTGAAAAGGAGGAGTCAGGGAGGTTAGAGGAGAATCAGGACAATGTCACGTCTTGAAAACCTGGAGAGAAGAGATTGATGGACAGTGTCATATATTACAGAGAGGTCAAGAAGGATTGAGGAAAGGCCATTGGATTTGACAGTTAAGAGATCATTAATCACTTTGGAGACATTTCATTTGAATGATACAGGCTTTGCTGTAGAGTTAAGAAGAGAGTGAGAGCCAAGGAAGTGGAGGTACTGAGAATAGACAGCCTTCTCAAGGAATTTAGTCACAAAAAGCACAAGAAATATGGAACGGTAGTGGGGATAGAAGGATCAAGTGAAGGTTTATTTTGTGAGGATTGGAAAGGGGCCAATAAACAGGGAGAGATTGAACATAAGTAAGAAGATGGAGATGATGGAGGGAGCACTTTGTTGGAGGAAGTAGGATGGAATGCACAAAGAAGTGTTATACTTAGCAAGCATAGCAAGCCTTCTCTTCCTGTGATACTCGGGTGAAGCAGGACTAGTTGTAGAAGGCATCTGTGCATGAGGAGGAGAAAGCTCTTAGTGAATGGCCTTCATGTTTCCAGTGGACAGTGGAGGCAAGGGGACAGAAGAACCTTGGGAGGATTGAGGAGGGATGAAAAGGTTTGGAAAAGCTGGTGTGGGGTAGTGGGATAGTGAGTCAGCCAGGGAGGGAGGTATAAAAAAAATTGCATGACTGGAATGAGGGCTCAATTGAGATCATGTAACCTAAGTTTGTAGTGGCTCCAGGTGGCAGGATTTTCTTCATCTTCTCTCAGCAGCACATGAGCAGGAGTGAAAGGCAGCAGATGATGAGAGTGATCCTAGGTGGAAGCTTACAAGGGAAGATCAGTGAAAGGATAAGGTGTTTAGGGGCTTGAGAGAACCAAGGGGTCAAGGTAGGGAAGGGAGGAGAGTGCCACTGCAGAGTTGATGGCCTAGGAAGGAACTGAGGGGATTGAGGTATTGGAGATCACAGTGAGGGTGACAAACAGAGTTTGGGGTTGCAAGGCAGCAGATGAGGTGGAATGCCAAGCTTGTGATTAGATAAAGGAATTTCAGAATTCATGAACATGAAAGTTTTACATTGTAATAGCAACATTGAATGGTATGTCCATCTCTGTAGCTGAGGTGGTATGGAGGAGTAGGTCATGGGAATTGTGGAGAAGATTGTAGACCTACTAGAGAATACCATTTGTGAGATCCCTTCCCTTCCCTTCCCTTCCCTTCCCTTCCCTTCCCTTCCCTTCCCTTCCCTTCCCTTCCCTTCCCTTCCCTTCCCTTCCCTTCCCTTCTTTCCTTCGTCCAGGATACGTTCCATTCTTGTACGTAGAGGGTACATGTTGAATAAAGGCAGTAAAGTATGATGAGTAGTGCCTTGTACTTGGAGTCACAAAGACCAGATCCAGCTGTGACTCTTAGGAAGTGACTTTGCTGAGTCTCACTTTCCTCATCTGTAAAATTAAGGAGTTTGTTACCCAATTGAAATCTATTTTATGTTTTTGATTACCTTTCCAAAGGGTGGAATGATCATGGTTCTTATGTGATTTAATTTAAGAACCATTTGAATAATCATCTAATTTGTATACTAACATGAAACATAGGCAACTAGTTGATAAAATGGATAGAGTGCTGAACTGGAGCTAGGAAGCGAAAATTTCAAATCTGGCCTTAAGACACTTAATAGCTGTATGACCGTAGCAAGTCATTTAACCTCTGTCTGCCTCAGTTTCCTCCACTATAAAATGGAGATAATAATAGCACCTCCCTTATAGGGTTGATGTAAGAACCAGATGAGATAGTTCTAAAGCACTTTGCACAATGCCTGGAAAAAATAGGTATTCAATAAATGATTGTTCCCTTCCTCCTCGTTTAAAAAAAAATTAAGGAGTTTGCTTTTGACTTCCAAGGTCTTTTTCATCTCTGAATCTTAATTTTACTGTTCTTTGATTTGCATAAAGATTTTATAGAGTAAGAACAAAGACAAAATGGATTTGGTTGTTACTGATATTTTGGTTACCTTTTAAACTTCGAATAAAGATCATGATCTTTCCCCTAAGCATTTACGATATTGTTCACTCATCTGATAGCTTCAGAATTGTTGCTTTAATTCTTCCCGAAATTTGTCAATTTCAGCAAAGATATGCTCTGTATATACTTAGTATATATACAGATTCTAGCTTTTCTTTCTGCTTTGCTTACCTTAGTGCCATTTCTAATTTCTTATGTAGCACATTAGTGACTGTGATGCTAGAGTTAAATAGTTCAGTAGCTTCACCATCGCTGATGTATAAAAATGTATACACTGTTGATATAAGAATTTAAAAAAAAAATCATTACAGATCTTTTCACTTTTGACTGTGGTTTTCCCTCAAATTTTGACTTAAAAAATGCCCTTAGGATGATCTGACTTATTTGCGACTCTTCCCAAATTTTCATTAAATTTGTTCTCTCTATACTCACTCTCCCACCCCTCCCATGACTCCCATTGCCCCTTTATAAGGCAGAACTGCTGATAAGCTTCTACCATGTTTCTCTGGAAAAGTTTTATAAAGAAGTTAACTTCCTAAATTGCTATTGCCCTTGCCTACCGTGTCTTTTTGCTGTACAAAGATGAGATTTTAAAGTTCTTTTGATCTCCTTTGTTTTGTCAATTAATTTTACCCCTGGATAAACTTAGGGAAAGGTGATCATCTGTATTAGTTTCCATTTCTTATCTATTTCCTGTTTTAATAGCTTACCTAACAAGGTCAGGATGGATTTGCCTCAGTTGCAAGCTATCTCAATATTTTTATTTTTCAGTTTTTTATTTTTATCTCTAACAAATTTTTAGCCTGATTGATATATCATTGATTTGGAAATGATTCCCATGTTGGTAACCAGTCATATTCTTTCTTTAACAATATTTAGTTTGGGGGGGCAGCTAGGTGGCTCAGTGGATAGAGCACCAACCCTGGATTCAGGAGAACCTGAGTTCAAATCTGGCCTCAGACACATAACACTTATTAGCTGTGTGACCTTGGGCAAGTCACTTAACCCCATTGCCTAGCCAAAAAAAAAAAAGCAAAAAACCCCCCAATATTTAGTTTGGGCATCTAGATGGTGCAGTGAATAAGTTCTGGCCTTGGAGTCAGGAGGACCAGAGTTCAAATCTGACCCGAGACACTTGACACTTACTAGCTGTGTGACCCTGGGCAAGTCACTTAACCCTGATTACCTCACCAAAAGGCCAAAAAAAATTTTTTTGGGGGGGAGGCAGCTAGGTGGTGCAGTGGATAGAACACTGGCCCTAGAGTCAGGAGGACCTGAGTTCAAATCTGGCCTCAGACACATATTTATTTACTAGCTGTGTGACACTAGGGAAGTCATTTAACCCCATTGCCTAGACAAAAAAAAAGAAAGAAAGAACAATATTTAGTTTGAAGTTATTTCATGTTCCCCCATGTTCAGCACCATCAGCCTGATTAAAATATAATATTCACAATATGCAGGTGTGTTTTTTTATAGTCTATTGGAGTTTTGTCCCTTTCATTTCTTACTTCTATACCATGTTTTCCAACATTTTTCACCTTCCTTTCTGTCCAGTGATCATTAGTATCCACATGTATTTTGATTAAACTTGAAGAATCTTATTAACTTCTTTGTAGAATTTCTTCAACTTCTCATCTTCCAGATGATATTAACATATAAACTATAATTATTTTTGTGGCAATTGTATGCAAATTGTGATTTGTGCTGAATACAACAGTGAGATGATTAAATATCCTATGAAATAATGTTTCTTTTTGCTTTTGGACATTTTATTTGCTTTTCTAAACAAAATCTGTGATCTTTCTTTCCAAGCATCTGCTTCCTCTTTTTTTTTTTTTTTTTTTTTGGTGAGGCAGTTGGGGTTAAATGACTTGCCCAGAGTCACACAGTTAGTGAGTGTTGTGTGTTTGAGGGCAGATTTGAATTCAGGTCCTCCTGATTTTAGGGCTGGTGCTCTGTCCACTGCGCCACCTAGCTGCCCCTAGCATCAGCTTCTTATTGTCTTATTTCTTTTATAGCAAGAATATAAAGATTGGTGTATGATTAAGTTCCCTCAATAGTATGTCATTAAAAAGGTTTTCATATTTACAATGACAAAAATGAAATTAATTTAGATATTTAAAAATAATGTGATTCTTAGCAGTCTGCTCCCTTTTGTGACCCGCTACTTTTATTACAGAAATGGAATGGGCTTCTTCACCAAGAGCCTCTATAGTTGGAAAGAAGAGACATGTATGTTTATAAGAGTTGGGGGTATAGTCACATGGTGACAGCAAGGGATGACCTGCATACCCCATAGATGTCTGTGCCTGTGGGTAAAGGGTGGAGGGCGTGAGAAGGACCCCCTTTGGAAGACTTGTTTAAAGAACCTGGAGGAGTAGCAGATGGGATAGGGGGCAGTAGCTACATTGTGATCTGTATCATTGGAGGGAGTACTCATTCATTGCAATCACAGATCCATTGAAGTAGCAAAGAGTGTTTCCTAAGTGATTGAGTCAGAAAGAGTAGTCATGATTGCTGTTATTCACCTGAATAAAGGAATCCTATTAAGGAATTTTGATTTTGTGACTTCTTTTTGGGCGAAGCTCTTGACCAGTGTCACTTGATCTACTCTGCTCAGCTTCCTCAGCTTCTGTTACCATCTTAAACCCAGAGGTGCTGGGAAATATATCTTCCCAAAGCCAGTGTTAGAAGGTTTATTTGTGAATTATGCATAAACAGTGTTGTCTCCATCCCAGTCTGTGTCTCGGTATACCTCTAGTATTGGAAGTGTTACATTTTAATCACTCTTAATTCTTTCTTCAGGTCAGAGACCTGGTGTAAAGTACTGGTATGAGAAGGAATGGTTAAGTCATGGCCACATGCATGGTTTGGCATTTTTGGAAGATAACTATTCCCATCAGAATGCCAAGAAAATAGTTGCCACTCATCAGCTTCTTGGTGATGTGCAGAAGGTGATAGAAGTTCTACATGGGCTGCAGCTAAAGATGAGAATTTTACAGTAAGTGTAAAGTGGCTTTTTGAAAACATTTGAGTTGTCATGTACTGGAAGTGAAAAATGTTACAAAACTCTCAGAAAAAGAAGATATGTCTGTAAGAAGAACAACATTTTCCTCCTAACCTCTAATTTTAGAAATGAAATGGTCAGAGGGAGATAAATTGTGACTCTGCTATGTTTGGGTTGCTCTAGAAATAGGATGGGTACAGTTGTGAAGTAAGTATGGTTCCTATGACCTGGGTGGGAAGGTTTCATATTCAGTGAAATGACTTTCCCCCTTAATTTGTAATATCACACTCGATTCTAAATAATAGTTTTTTAAAAATTAGGTGTACTTATTAGACTGTAGAAGCTAGCATTCTTTTCCCCAACCATCTGGGAAGAAGACAAGTTCAAATCTGGCCTCAGAAACTTATTAGCTGTATGATCCTGGGAAAGTCACTTAAGCTCAGTCTGCCTCTGTTTCCTCCTTTGTCAAATGGGGATAATAATAGCACCTAGCTCCCAGGTTGTTGAGAGGGTAAAATGAAATAATATTTTGTAAAGTGCTTTTATTAAATTATAAATGCTTTTATTAAATGTTGTCTTTTCTCTGAAATGTCAAAAGACTTCTAATTTGAATATTTGGGTGATAATGATGAGTTAAAAAGCATACTAATATTTCCACTTTGTCATGATTATTCTCTTTGGAACCATGTATGTGAGGAAGTATAGGATAAGTGTGAAATGTAACCACTGGTATTTTGCATATTGCTGATAACTTGTCATTCCTTAGGCAGCTCGTAAGTGTCACAGACTTTGTATAATCAAGTAACAAAATTTTGTTAGGTGAATTTTTGTTTGGAAGGTCTCTCTTTTTGGACTAATGATTTCCTCTGTGATTTACTGATTGGATCATATATATATAGGCTCTTCTTCCAAGCTTGTATGTATGTAGTCTTCATGACATGGGATCCCTCTGAGTTACTCTAGAGAACTTTTCCTGATTATTTTCCCCTCAGGAGCAAAGAGCACCCTGATTTACAGCTGTGGTGTCAGCCCTGGAAGCAACACTCCAGGGATGAGAAGTCTCACCCCAAACATGTCCTTCACATTGAAGATAAGAAGAAGGAGGATGTGCCGAACTATAGAACTTTCAGTGGGACAGTAGAAAAAACACTGCCCTTTCCTTCCATGGAAGAGTCTTATATCACCAGTGAACACTGTTATCAAAAACCCCGAGCCTATTATCCTGCTGTAGAACAGAAGCTTGTGGTAGAGACAAGAGGGTCGGCTATGGACGATGGTGTTAACCCCATCCGGGAGAATGGGGATGATGTGCTATCAGAAAGGTTTGGGTGGGAGTTAGATCAAGAAAAAATCAAGTTGCAGAATGAATTGAGACATACTTACTCAAAGGTATGTTTGTATCTCTTGAATTTCCTCAATATATTTAATATTTGTGTCATATGAAATAACCTACTTTGTTCTCATGGTTAAAGTTTCCTCAGACCCAAACATTTGTTTTGTATTTGCTGGTGTTTAAATTGAGTATGAGGCCAGTATATGTGAGTGACATGGTCACGTAGAACATGAGAGCTGGAAGAGACTTCTGAGGCTGTCTGGATGGCAAGGGACTTATCTAAGGTCACATAACTAGTTTGTGACTAAACAAAGACTAGATGCTACTTCTCCTAAACTTGAGGCCAGAATTCATTCTACTGTATTACACTGCCCTATTTCCTTCTTCTTTATGGAGCCATACACAGCCATGACCATCACCAAGTGAAGAGTGCAAGAGAGGAGTGATGCTAGTGACTCTACCATGGGATAAATGTGGAGTGTTGTAGTAAGTTTACACCATTGTGGCAGCATTCCATCAACCAATACCCAATCATTTCTTAGGATAGATAATCTTTTGGAATAGAAAAGCAGCAGCACCCCACTCAGCCCTTCACCCCATTTACCTGTGGACACTTAATCCTGACCATGCTTTTTACTTTTGAAATTCAACTTTTAGAGTGTGAAAATGTTAACAGCATGACACTTTGTTCACAGCATGACACTTTTAGACACTCAAACAGCTAGTTGCTACCAAAGAACCAAGGATTTCATATTAGCATTATAAGTTAAGTCTAACTTTTATTAAATATATATTATATATTCATATATTATATATATTAAATATATAATTACATGTTTTGTAGAACTATTATGCTGTAAGTTCTGTGATGGCAGAGACCATGTTTTATTAATCTTTCTTTCCTCTGAACACCAAGCACATTCAGTAAATATTGGTTAAATAAAAATGTTATTATTTATTCAACCAAACACAGGGCAATGGTAGATTTAAGGTTATTCATTACGTAGGTGCAGGCTTTGCAAGGATTTCTTCTATCTAAAATTCATTAAGAATCCTGTTAAAGGAGAGTTCATGTTTTATGCGTGCCTTAGACTAGACAAACCCTGAAGGTCCTTCCAGCTCTAGAAGTCTGGATTGCAAAAAGACCTTTTGCTGACTTTTAAGCAACAGAAAGTCAGTCTCTCGCTTGTCCTTTCCCAAAAAGCTCCGAGGGTCGCAGAGGGAATAAGAAGCATCTCTCTAGGGTTCAGGGTCAGGACAGGTCATTTTTGTAATCTCTTCCCAGCTCCCTGGCCCATGGGTAAAGTCGCAGTGGCCAGAGTTCATTCTTGCTCTTTGAGGTGACCTGAACTGTCACAAGGGAACCAGGTTCTTTCTGCCTTAGGAAGGGGAACTCTTGTAAGAGAATCAAAAACTGTACCAGTATTTATTCATAGAATTCAAACTGGGCGTCCTTTTTCCAGCTTTTGAAACAAGTATTTGGGGAGAGAGGGATCAGGGCTTGTGAATGAGCCCTTCAGTAGTAACACTGTGTTGTCATTCTTCAGGTGAGGGAGTGTGCTTCTAAAAAGGCCCCCTCAGAGGAAGTCCCCACACTGAAGCTGTTGGAAAAAGACAGGGAGGGAGTAGTGAACGCTCACCTCCAGTGGCAGCTCAATTTGCTCACACACGTGGAATCTCTGCAGGATGAAGTCACACACAGGATGGATTCCATCGAGAAGGAGCTGGATGGTAAATCTCTCCTTTTTTCAGAGACCCCTGGGACACAGGCAGGGCTTTGATCTTGTTTTCAGACCCTTGTGCCTGCTCCTTCCCCTAAACAAACAGACCCGTCAGCTCCACGGGCTTCCTCTGCTCTTTCACATTGGGGAATTCTAGTACTATTTCCAGTTCATGGTGCCTCTTCACCTGTCTCAACAGCTTACTCAGCGTGATGTATTAAGTGCTTACTATGTGCCCGGCCCCACACAAAAGAAACAGCAATACTTGAAGTACTCAATGAATCCAAAGATTTCCTGAGGAATAATGCACGGTTCCTATGAGCCCAAAGAACTGGCCATAGAACTCGAGTTCCCCAATGTGGAAGGAAAGGATAAGAAAGAGCCTGTGGATCTTATGTATGTATGTTTGCTTGGGGAAAGAGCAGGAACATAGGCACTTAATACATCATGTTGAGTTGGGAACATGGAATCTTTAGGTCAGGAATATCAACGACTGAGGTTTTGAGTTATGTTCTAGCAAATCAGTGCTGTAAATGGTGAGACAGTGCCAACCTTCATGGAACACCTACTGAGTGACCTGTAAGTAACGGCATGGTGATGTAGGATGGCTCTGTATAAGTATTAAGAGGTTAACCGATTTGGGGCTATTAAGGAAAGCCTTCTTGGAGATTATTCTTGAACTGGGTTTTGAATGAAAGTGGCTTTCAGTTAATAGAGATAGGGCAGGAATGAGCTTGACAAAGAAATTCACCTGACTGGAATGGGGAGATAAATAAATTGAGGATCATGGAGAAAGATGGGCATGACCACTGTCCAAACAACGTTATAGTGTGTAGGAATTGGTCAAAGGAGGGAGTAGAATAAGGTTATGATTATCATGCAGTATTTTGTTAGGAAACCCAGGAATTTATCTCATGAAAGCTTAGCTCAAAAGATGGTGGACCAGGTTTATGAAGTACCTTGAATACTAAACTGAGGTGTTTGGGTTTTATTTTACCAGCTATTGAAAGCCACTGTAGGATTTTAAGCAGGGCAATAACGTGATGAAAATGGTAGCTGGGAAGACCAATGTGATCTTTTAGGACATATTGAAATAGGAGGTGGCATGACCAGACAGAAGGCGCTTTCTGTGATTTGAGAGTTAAAGTAATGAAGGTCAGGACTGGGGTTGTGAATTAGAAATGGAAAGTGATGAATGAATTGGATTTACATTTGAGAGCTGAAGAAGAGAATCAAAGAAGATGCTTAGAGGATTCTTTGGTATTTGAAGTTCCTTGATAATGCATTTTTTTGCGGGGGGGGCTAGGCAGTGGGGTTAAGTGACTTGCCCAGGGTCACACAACTAGTGAGTAGCATGTGTCTGAGGCTGGATTTGAACTCAGGTTCTCCTGAATCCAGGGCCAGTGCTCTATCCACTGCGCCACCTAGCTGCCCCTGACAATGTATATTTTTTAAAAAGGGTTTGATGTTGATGTGTCTTTGTATGGTTGTGGTCCTGGGATGTGATCTGAATTTCCCAAGTCACTGCTGTTATTTGTTATTCTGGGTTAAAAGGCCAATTACATTCTCCCTGAAGATCACTTTTGTTCTTCAGTTTGGTGCACTTGAGTTAATAATAGGAAAAAATGTTAGAACCCAGAATCTAGCAAGTAAATGGGAAAGAGATACATGGAAAAATTAATGTATTATGAAGCATAAACCTAGAATCCACAGATGACATTGATATTCCCATTTCCCTGAGGAAGGTACAAAAGGTAGAACATCAAACCCTGTGTAGGATTCAGCCCCTAAAATAGAGGAAAATCTTTTGCTGGTTTCCTGGATCCTTTGGATCAAGCTGATTTATTCTGTGCCGACGAAGTTTTGTGTTGACTCCACCAAAATAACCTTTCTTTTGAGCCACCTGGGAGGAGGTAGATCATATGAGTGACTTTCCTCCTTAGGTCTCATATTGCACTTTTATTTTGCAACTCTGTATATTATTTTATATTATTCTTGTTTGTGTTATCACTGTTTGTGTCTTATTCCCCTACTAGACTAAGAGCCCCACAAGGGCAAGGACCGCTGACTCAAATTTTTTCTCTTTGAGCATCTAGCATGCTTTTTTGTGTCCAGTAATACATATTTGATTGAATATGATGTTCTTCATTGCCTCCTGTGCCTTTCTGCTTTGATTACCTTCTAAGTGCAGCTACTTCTGGGGAGCAGCAGGGGAGGTATAACAGATAAATCTCCCTCCCCTGGCCCATAGGACATAAGGCAGGCTTGTTCATTTTAAAGTATAATGAGGCTTATTCATCAATTCATATTATTCAAGTACACTAAATCAGCTCTCTGGAACATCTGGGGAAAATTAAAAATGTGATTCCCTACTCTCAAGAAACTTTATGGTCTGGTATATCCATGTGAAAGGTACCAGAAGGCCCCATAAGTGAGAGGGTACAAATGACAGCAGTATGACACTGTAGTAGGAATGACATTGGAAAGGTACTGGATGTAAAAGCAGAATTGAAGTTCAAATACTTGGCTCTACTACTTGTAGTGCCTTCTATCACTCTGAACCTGCTAAATTTGAGAAATAGCATCATGTGGAAGATTTGACATTAAAGCATCTAGGTTTGAATCTGGATCTTCTCCTCCTTGCTTAAGTGAACAAGTTATCTAACCTTTCAAGCCTGTTTCCTGTGCTTTAAAATGAGGAATCTACTATAATCAGCCAGGGGCTTTTAACCTGTTTTTGCATTATGGACCCCTTTGGGGGTCTCTCCCCTCACGTACACAAACTCTTTTTCTGTATGTATGTGTATATAAATAGTTCAACTCCCTCATTTGAGAAGAGAGTCCATAGGTCCATTGACTTATGGACCCCCTTCTCAAAATAATGTTTAAAATGCATATAAAATACATAGGATTACAAAGGAAACTTTTGGGGATTTGGTGGTGATTATGGACCTTGGGTTAAAAAAAACCCTCTTGACTAGATGATCTGTGAGGCCCTATCTTTATATCTTGGGATCCTTGTGAGTTAGAGGCAGAGTGTTCTAGGAATTCAGTGGGTTGATTGCTCTGTGTTAGACTAGCTGGAGAAGACTTCTTTGAAATGGTGGAACTTGAGGAGGATGAGTAGAAATTGAATAGATGGAAAGGGAAAAGGAATTCTAAACAAGATGTCAAAAACAGAGACAGAAGTGGAAATGAGTACAGTTCAACCAAAGTTCAAGTGTCTTCTTTGTACAATGAACATGCTATGGGGGGGAATGGAGATGGCTGAGAATGCATATTAATGGAGCGTAAAACCAAAAAGTGGCATCATAGGTGGCACTGCTTATGGGCCAATGAGGTTTGGAGTTCTTGGTTACTCTCAAGGGACCTTGGAAACCAGATTAAGGAGTTTGGTGACCCCATACTGCCAGTTGCTTAATAAATGCTTGTTGATTTGAGTCACTTCTTCCATTAATCCCGACAGAAAATGTTCACATACCAAGTACAGAGTTCTGAGAAACATTTTAACATTCTTAAGGAAATGCTGAAGGCTAACCAGGTCTATCTCTTTGTCTTTTGTGCCCAGTTCTGGAGAGTTGGTTGGATTACACGGGAGAGCTGGAGCCACCAGAGCCATTAGCCAGACTCCCTCAGCTCAAGCATTGCATAAAGCAACTCCTGACGGACTTGGGAAAGGTGCAGCAGATTGCCCTTTGTTGTTCCACGTGAGACTGACCTGAGTACTGCCCATTCACCATCACCAGGATGTCTGGAGGTGGCTCTTTGTATATTTAAACAAAACTTGCATACTGAATGCATGGAACATGGATTGACTTCAGGGAATCCAGGCAGAGTGTGGTGGACGCAGGGCAGGCACCTTACTCATATCAAGGCTGCTGAAAGCAGGGTGTTCCAGTCTACACATGCTTCAAGAACAGGAAGGCAAAGAAGAAATGTTAAGATTTCCTCCTTACACACAAATTGTTAAATGAAAATAATTTTTTTTTTGCACAAACTTCACTTTAAATCGTGCCACTGATAAAGGAGTAAGAGCCAAAAATGTTTATTTGAAAATGGTTATAATTCCTATTCTGCAGTTTATTTAATTGACTTGTGTTTCAGATTGGATCACAATAGCCTTCCTGGTTGCTGTCTCAAATGGTATTTAATCAGTGGAAGTTTCAATTTTGAGCTTTGTGAGAATGTCCTTTTTATGACTTAACTGTTATATGGAGGTTAAATAGTACAGGCCCAAAGCCTGCACCAAGTACTCTAGATTGCTACAATAAATGACCATTTGGGCTGTATTCACCCCCTAGTAAATGATTATTTTAGTTCATCATGTCTTTAGCATGAATGACTTACTATATGGTACTCGGGAAAATCAACTTAGTCTGAGCTTGTTCTGTTCCCAACCCCAGGATGTGCCTGGGTTTTTGCTTGCATTAGGGCTAACAGGCTCCTTGGGGGGAGCTGGGGTCTCACTGCATGTGACCTATGTTAGGTATTCCAAACTGTAGCGAGGTCTGTAACCCAGGGCAGTATTTTCTACCCACCTTGTTAATATTTGATAGCTCCTATTCACTTTTGAAATGTAGATTTTTTTCCCCAAAGTTATAAACTTACTGTAAAGATTCGTTACAAAAAGAGGATGTGCTTTGGGGAGTCAGCTTATTTTATATACTGTAAAGACCTGGACCCTATGTACTGCTGTAAGCCTCCCCAGAGATTCATCTTTAATAGTATTTCCAGATACCCCACAATCCTTTTTTTTTAAATATACCACATTTTAATTTCCAGGTGTATCTTATTTTGTGAGATCAAGGTGATTATGCTGCCTAAATTTCAGGTACAGTGTCATTTAGTACCTTTGAGAATGATGTATTTGTGTTACTTTTGCAGCCATCAATAACAGTCCCCGTATCTTCTTGTGTTGCCTATGGTGCAGTGCAGGGGAATCCTCCTTGTGCTTTTAGATCTTTTCCACTGTTAGTTTTGCTCATGATTATACCACTTAAACATCAAAGCACACTTGTCCATTAGCATTTGACAGTTAATTAATGGTTTATGAATCTGTAATATTATATGCTGCAAATATTTACTATGTAAACTTGAAATAGTCAACATCTTAATAGGAATGGTAAGATCTGCGATGAACCTTTGGATTTAAGTCTTTGGGAAAGGTCCAGATTGTTTAACTTGGAAATGAGGGCCCTGGGGAAAGGATATTTCCTAATTCACAGTAAAATAAGTATGGTAGCCATACAGCAGAGAATCCCAGTGGCTATGACACTTTAAAGTTCATATGACTCTGCTTTAAGAAAAAAAAAGTCTTTCCCATCACTAATGCTGCTGTATGAAGAAATGCTTAGTATATTAATATTTAAATTAGAAGTAATTAACTGGACAGCTGTTTCACAACCAAGACAACTGAAAGGAAACAGAATGAACAGCTGTTCTCAGAGATTCCTTTTGCAAAGTTCCACCTGAATACCAAATGTGGGTAATCTAGAGGCCTCATTAGTAAGTTAACATTGAAGGTAGTTAATTGGGTTGAAACGGGTTAGATTTTTTTACAGAGCTGGGAACAGAAATGAAAAATTCCTGTTGAATTCTGCCAAGTGGCCATTTTTGTTTTATTCTGCTGGATAATTTTGAAAGGAAATAAAATTCCATTTCATTTAATTCAATTTGTCAAGTAGGATTTGTCTTCCTGAAAAGAGGCAATAAAAAAAGCAACAGGGATTTACTCAGCTGAAGACTTACAGTATGCCCCTTTTCAGGTTTCCTTTGGAAGAGGTTCTATTATGTTAGGATGGTACAGGGCTACTTAGGGCCTCCATCTCTGAATGCTGGACCAAGCTTAGTTAATCTAAAGTTGGAGCACTGGAAATAATTACTGCTGTTACCCTTAAGAAATGTTTAGTTGTTGTACATTACCTAAATTTGAATTTTGTCTCTCTGGATGAAGGCTATCCTACTAAAATTGCCTTGGCAGAAGCAGTTCTGGTTTGACTAAATTTTGTTTCTTTAAATCAGCGATGGGTGAATGCAAGGTAGAACCTTGATGAGATGAGCCAACATTGCACTGTGGAGATGTAACTGTTTGTTTACGCACTATTAGAATGGAGGGCACTGTATATAGAAGTTTTGCTTTGGAGCAATATTTACAAAACATGGAAACCTCTTTATCTGTGTTTGGAAAAAATAAATAGGTTTTTGTTGTTTTATGTATTAGTGCTTATTTATTATCCCACCACATAAATCCCTCAATAAAACACTATAGCTAACTACTGACATTTTCTGTAAAACAAGATTTTGCATATAGAATCCTAATGATCACATAAAAACCAGCCAATAAAATCATGGATCCTCCAAAATATGCCATACCCAAGTAAGAGATGGGTTGCTGTGAAGACAAAGTAACCTTACAACTTAATGCAGGAAATCAGTCTGAATCACAAAGGAAGACAAGAATCCTTTTCTGGTTAATAATTTAATGCTTTTTAAGAGGGTAAAAATGCCAGGAGCACCTGATGCTTGCCAGTGAAGTAAGGAAATACAGTGTCTGCAGAAGCACCAAACTGGCTATGATTACATTCTCTAGCTCCATATACTTTCAGCTGTGACATAAGCCAAATGTTACAGCATGTTTCCCAAAACTAAAACAAAAAAACGTAGCTATTAGCTTTAAATTAGTTATGTGTGAATATTTCAGACACACTCCAGAATAACTAGAAAAAAAAGGCACCAGCTAGGCACAACTGTACCAGAAGTGCCCACTGCTGATCCCAGTCACTGAAACAAATGTTGAAAATAGTTCACTAAGGCTGCCAGTCCTGGGGGTTCCACCAGCACTGGGGCACAAGCTCCCTAGGAATTCCACTCCAGGTAATAATGGCCAAGGGCAAGAAGCACATATTTCTCCATATTGTTGATGGCAGAGTGAAGGGCTGAAATAAAAACAAGTGGTTTGCGAGTTGTAATGAACAGGAAATCCATTACATTTGGCTCAGTGGGTAGTACCAACCCTGTCGGCTATCAAACCTCAACTATAGGTCAACTTCGTTTCTGCAATAATAATCTCTTACTGAACACTTAATGGATTGGGAAATTACCATACAGTCAGTATGAAGGCATTCTCAAACAGTGCACAAAAAGCCCCGATTCCAGTATCAATAGTGTACCCTAGGCCAACTCTTGGATCTCCCTGAGCCTGGTTACTTAAAGAGATATAATGCATGTAAAAGGCACTACTGAAAATAACACGAAAGGGACTGAGAATGAGCTTTTCATTCCTCCACAACAATTTGCTACAACAAAAGCCTTTACTATGAAATAAGGGCGCTAGATAGAAACTCTATGGTCCCTAGCAGGTCCTTTAACCTTTCACGAAAAATAACACTAATAGACATGGGACATCGATCAGGTCTCTGTACACGAGGTGCTCCAGCAGAAGGAATAGATGTCTACTTTCACAAGACACTGGGACTGAGCAGAGTTAACTAAAACGACCCACTGAAGAAGGGGGCACTCGGCAGTCTCCACCCTGGGTGCCCTCCCCCCAATTAGCTACATGGAAAAGGGATGGAGGCTCCCAGGGAGCAGAGAACCAAGAGTCGAAGGAAAGAGTCACAACAGGCCACGACTGCCAAAACCAGGTTTCATTAATGCGGTGGCGGGTGCGAACACAGACAAAACAACGGTAGCTCGGCGGCCCCCTGGAGGAGGGAAAAAGCTTCAAGCTCGGTACCGGGAGACCCAGTGCGGCCCCGGGGTCACCATCGCCGCCTGCGCGGCCGGCGGGGCCTCGGGCTCCCGCGTCAGCCCGTGATACGGACATCTCCACGGCGGCCTCGCCGGCGGGCCCGGATCTCCTCGGGCAGGATGGCCATGAGCTGCTCCTGCACCAGCATCTCCACGATCTGCTCCTTGGTTCGGACCTCGGGCCGCAGCCACTGGCGGGAGAGTTCGCGGAGCTGGCGGAACGCCTCGCGCGGCCCCGCCGCCTCGTGGTAGCGGAACTGCCGGAAGCGCTGGCGGAACGTCTCCGGGCCGGGCCGGGCCCCCGAGGGGCCGGGGGCTGGGGGCGAGGCCTCGAGGGCGGCGGGGGGCCGGACCGGGGACGGGGGCAAGGCGGCGGGGACTGCAGGGCCAGGGGGCGCCGCCGCGGCCTCTGGGGACTCCAGGCTAGCGGCAGGCTCCTCCAGCCTCACCGGCGAAGCTGCTTCTTTCTCCAGGGGCGCTGGGCTAGACCGGCCCATACTCGCCGGCTGGGCCGCCATCTCGACGGCTCCTGGCGTCACCCTTTGTTTCGCGACTTGGGGCTTCTCGGCGCCTGCGCTGAAGCCAGGAACCCACCGAACCTAGAAAGAGGAGAGGAAGCGCTTTGCGCCTGCGCCTGGGTCAGGCTTAGGGGACGGGGTAGAAAAGGGGCCTCGACAGTTCTGGGACGAGGAAGGCTCTCGTCGCAAGAAGGAGGTCGAGATGATAGCTGGGAAGGAGCCCCGAGGGCGCTTTACCTCCTCACGTCGGGATCCAGCAGCTGCAGAAACAGGATTTTAAACCCGGCGTCTGTGAAGCGTTTAACGGAAACGTGAAGGAAGCGGAAAACTGCGAAAGCGGAAGCAGCTTCTCTATGGTCGAACGCTCAATCGAACCTCCAGTTTGCACATCGCCCCCTGGCGGCAGAGGGACGCTCTAGGCGCGGAGCCAGGTGTGGGAAATTCAATTCAGCAAACAGCACATCTGGGAATAGTCAGTGTTGGAGGGGTTGTGGGAAAATAGAGGCGGGCGGGCACTGTTGGGGCTGGGAATGGGTACAGCCATTTAGGAAAGCAGTTTGGAATTATGAAGATAAACTATAATGTTTGACCCGGAGATTCCACAGTTAGACATATGTACTTTCAAGGAGATCATTGATAAGTACAAAGTACCCATATATACAAAGATATTAATAGTAGCACTTTTTGTGATAGCAAGGAATTGGAAACAAAGTACATGCTTATCGATTGAGGAATAGGTAAATAAATTAGGTACATGAATGTAATGGAATATTATTAGTCTCCTGTAAGAAATAATGAACATGACTAATACAGAGAAACAGGGAAAGATAATACGCAAAACGATGCCAAGTGAAGTAAGCAGAGCTAAGTAAACAATATATAGAACTAAAACAACCACACACAATCAAAAGTGAATGTGGCAAAATTACTAAAACCAGCATAATTCCAAAGAGCTATAAGAAGATAATCCCACCCCTTTGTAGAGGTGGGAGGTCTACTGCTCTACAAAGTACTCTCTTGATCAGTTATACTGATTTTTTTTCTTTAAAAATATTTGTTATATGAGATGGCTCTCTGAGGAGGGAAGGGGGAAATTATGGTGATTTTAAAAATAGCACAAAAGTTTTTTAAGAGCCTGCTGTGTGTATTTATGTTGAAATGAGAAGTTTTAATGATTTGAACAAAGAAAACATTTAGAATTCTATAGGATCTAGAGCTGAGATGGACCAGCATCTTTCTTTTATAGATAAAATACACCTAAAGAGAGAAAATAACTTGCCCAAGACCACAAAAGTAGTAACACTGAGCCAAAACAGGTCCTCAGTCTCCAAATATGGGGATTTTCCCATTTACTCACTTTGATCCAGACCCCACCCTCTTGCTACTTAGCCATTACATCTCCCAGTTTCCCATTTTCAGTCTTTCCCTATTGGCTGCCTTGCAAACATCCTCAATTCTTGCCTCCCCTTAAAAAAATTTCCTTGACAAAAGTATCCTCTTCATCCCATAACAATCAAGAAACATTTATTTGTTCCTTTTTTTTTGTTTGTTTGTTTTGGTGAGGCAATCAGGGTTAAGTGACTTGCCCAAAGTCACATAGCTAGTGAGTGTTATGTGTCTGAGGCTGGATTTGAACTCCTTCCTGACTCCAGGGCTGGTGTTCTATCCACTGCGCCACCTAGCTGCTCCCATTTATTTGTTCTTTGTGACAGGCATTTAGGCACTGAGACTACAAATCTGAAAGTAAAACAGCCCCTGCCCTCAAGGGGATACAATACAATATTAGAGAATGGTAGTGTGGGAAGGAAGTTTTGGATTCAGCAATTAGTCACAGGATTTGTTGATTGCAAACACAGGGCAGTAGATTGTCACTGTTTTTTCCAGTAGAAAAGGTAGTACTGAGCTAATTATTGTTCCCTAGACAGGAGGTGAAAAATGTGTGGGGATGGGGGAGGCATGATAGGGTTATGTGGAAGAATAGATGTTAAGGTTCCCCTTCTGGACGAGCTCTAGTGAATATCGGTCTAGGAGGCTGGTATTGGCTAGAAAATGCTAAGATAAAAATGGGTTGATGTAACTACCAATCCAGGCAGCTTTAGTTGCCCTGAGCAGTCTGAAAATTGAGTGAATTTACTGGGCTGGGAGGTTAAGCTCTGGGAAATTGCTAGAGTCATCACTACTTACTCATTCTTCAGCCCCTGGCATTCTAGTTTCTTATCTCACCAATCAACGGAAGCTTTTTTTTTTTTTTTCCCAAATATCACTAATGGCTTCTTAGTTGCTAAATTGATGTTCACAAAGAGCAGATTTCTTCACACCAGCCTTCAGACTTCGTGACTGGTTTTTTTGTAGCTTTTGACATTTGTCCACTCCTGTGTTCCTTTCTTCTTTGGCTTCTCCTTGCTCTCGCCTGATTCTTTTCCTACCTGTCCAACTGTTCCTTTGGAGTCTCCTCCGCTTCTTCTAGCTGGGGTCTTGTCGTTCCTCCCACACCTGAAGTCCTTGGTCAGTCCTCACCTCTTACCCAATTCTCCTTTGGGTGATCTCATCTGCATCTGTTTCAGTGATAGTTTCAGTGATCACCTCTATGCAGGTGACTCCCAAATATCCCCCGAAAACCTGTGGTCCAGAACCAAAGTTCTGGGTTTCTGCAGCCTGATTTTAATCACTGTGATTAGTGCTCCGCCTATGGTTTCTCCAGGTATTATAAGTATATATAGCACCTGTCTTGGTCTCTGCAAAAAAAAAAAAAAAAAAAAAAAAAGTGAAAAGACCTTCCACTCTCAAGCAAATGCTCAGTCTAGTAATACATACAATAGAAGAGGAGTTCTTGACCTTTCTTGATACTTCAGTCACTGAACATTTGTTTGTTTAGAGCCATTTTTTGTTTAGAGCCATTTTTTACAGTTATTTGGAGGGGTTTGGGGAAGAGTTCAAGCAAGTCATTGCTTTTACTATGCCATCTTGGCTGTCAATAAACATTTATTAAACATCTACAGGCGCAGTGCTAAGTACTGGAAATACAAAGAAAGGTAAAAGACATTCCTTGCCCTCAGAGAGCTTACAATGTAATGGGGTAAGGCTTATAAAAAGAAGCTGAAAAGAACCAGGGGCTGAGGGGAAAGGGAAGGAAAGGTTCTGGTGGCATGTTGAAGTCAGTATGATGAAGTCCTGTCTAGGAGATGAGTAGGAAATGATGAGTTTGCCACCCAGAGTGCCCTCCTTAAATGGAAGATTTGAGAAGAGCTCTAAGAGGTTCACCCTCCGACCTTTCCAATCAGAGGGAGGGTGGGGCCCTAGGGATTGGTACTGAGGAGGTGTGAGCTTCAGAGTTGCCGTGATCTTGCATGGAGATCCTGATGAAGTCCTTGGAAGCAGCCTGGTGGGAAAAGATAAGATGACTGCCCTGGATCTCCTTAAACAGAGGATCAAGGAGAAGCCCTCTGATGTCCATGCTCTACCCTTTCCAATCAGTCCGGTGAAACCTATGCACCTTTTCTCAGATAAATGTATACAGATGTATAAAATAAAACACCTAGGATTATAAAGAAAATCAATTATGTTGGAAAAATAATAAAAATTTTTTAAAAATTAGTTTACAGACCCCAGATTAATAAATAGATAATAGATTTCTTTTTTGGGGGGGAGGCTAGGCAATGGGGTTAAGTTACTTGCCCAGGGTCACACAGCTAGTAAGTGTTATGTGTCTAAGGTCACATTTGAACTCAGGTCCTCCTGAATCCAGGGACAGTACTCTATCCACTGTGCCACCTAGCTGCCCCTAGGTTTCTTTTCATTCAGCAGAAAATGCAAAAGGTGAAAGACTCACTCTAGTCCATAAACAGTCAACTCTTCTTTCTCTTCTGAGGAGCCCTAACTGCCCGAGGAGAGATTCTTAGTAGTACTACCCTGTGATTTCCCACTTCCTCAACTCCTGTCTTCCCACTCCAACCTCTACCCCTAACAAAAGGGAAAAACACTTGCAGATTTTATATATATTTATATCTAGAGATATAGATAGATATAGTTATATAAAATTTATGAATATATATATATATATCCCTGTAATGGGAAGAGTATGTGAGGAAGACCCTTAGCACATTGGATGCTTACAGGAAGGTATGGACTTGGATGGTTATAGCCTCCATTGTTGAATCAATACTCACAATGCTGATGTAAGAGGTCCATAGGCATATTGGAGTTTCTATCTAGCTTGGTGGATGGAGGGAGAGTTGACCTCAGTCAGGAAGCCCTCAATTCAAGCCCCATCTTGGACACATACTGGGGTAGGGGTGTGCTATAGCCAGCTTGAACTCGGCTAATGCTACAAATTAAGGCTTGATTTATTGTTTTGTTGATTATCCAGACTTATGAAGTGATGGAGAAAATGTTAATAATGCATTTTAAAATCAAAAGTGTGTCATGCATTTTCAGAAACATTTACCAGCACCCCCTGCACTGATTATTTGACCCCAGGCATGTCACTTAATTTCAATGCCCAAGACAATTCTCTAAGACTGTAAGTTACAGACGAATTGCCAATCTGTAATGGTAGAAGAAGACAGGGAGGTCACTGTGCCAATGAAACCACAGGTGTAGACCAAAAATGATTGTTATTGTGTATTTTGTTTTCTTGGCCACTTGGCTCTCCATGAGTTCATGCAAGTATTCTTATGTTTGACTATCATCTGGCTTTTTCAGGCTTATTACTTGTCTTCTTGAATTCTAGGGTCCAAACAAGTTGGCCTTCTGGCCGTTTCCCATACTTGCCATACTATCTCTCATCTCTGGACCTTGGTTGTAGGTCCCCTGTACACTCCCTCTTCATTTTTACCTCTTAGGATCTCTGGTTTCCTTCAAAGCTCAGCTCAAACACCACATCCTACAATGAAGCCTTTTCCCCAACCTGCTCTCCCTGACCCCTGCCACTAGTACCTCTTGAAATGATCTTATATTTATTTATATGTACTTATGTTGTATACATGTTGTCTCCAGTAATAGAATGTAAGTCTCTTTTTAATTTGGATGCCAACTAGCACAATGCCTGTCATATGGTAGGCACTTAACAAATGCTTATTGATGAAGGACAAACAAGAACATTTATCTTGTATCTTTGATCTTTTTCAATTTCTTGGATCTTTCTCAATAACCCCAGTAGAATAGAAATTTCTTGAGGGCAGAGAGAGTTTCATTTTTTGTCTCTGTATCTCCAGTGCCTAGCACAGAGTACGTGCTTAATTTTGAGAAACAGACTTCAAAGGTTGATTTATTGAAACTCCCTTTGCATAGTCATTCCTTTCTTTGTGCCTCAGTTTCCTCATATTTAAACTGGGGATAATAATGTCTGCAGCAACTTCTCTTCTGAAGCCTGATGATGGCTGGTGCACATGACTCTGGATCCTTGAAGGCTATATGATATGAGGGTCATGTAAACTGGGTTTAAGCTGGAAAGGCTTTGAGTCTGGGCCCAGTGGTCAACTGTACTCTTTGACTTCTTGTCTCAGGAATTCTTAGCTAAGTAAGACTCTTTTGCTAAGTTGACAGAAGAGGGAGTAGAATTTTTTTTGGTCACTTGAAAGTCTTCAAGAGTTGATATCTGTGTTGTTGGAGGGGGCATCCGTTTGAACATTACACTAATTACATTAGATTACCACTTTCAGAAGGATCTTTGTAAGAAATGCTTACCCCACTGAGCTGTGGGAATTATCTGTCATATGAATTGTGATGTGCAGAGTACTCTGGAAAAGTTAATGATAGAAATATCATTATTTAAATGGGGAAGATAACACCAGAATTTCTATTCTGCTTTAAGATTTGAAAAGTGTTTTCCTCAAAACAGATGCATCAGGTAGGAAATTGATAATTTTCCCTTTCTTTAAAAAAAAAGTTTTATTGATGTGATGTATTTCTACCTCACAAACTTACAGATTGCCGTTTTGAGAAAGATCTCTTGCTCATCTGTAGGGCGAGCCCCCCCCCCCCCCCCCGTCACTGAACAAAATAATAAAAGAAATCTATTTTCTCTCCCTCCCACTCCTCACTCCATTAAAAAAGAAAAAGAAAGAAAAATACATTTCCTGTAACAAATATACCTGTTTAAGCAAAACAAATTCCCTTTGTGGTAGTATACAAAAATATGCGTCTTAAGCCGCACCCTAAATCTCTCCTGGCTCTTGTCATGATGGGCACGTTGATCCTCTGCAATCAGGAACAATCATCGTATACTGATTGTAGATCTCTGATCTTTCCGCTCCCCTCCTCCCCTTTTGCAGATGAGGACACTGAGGCTGACCACAGAAGCTAAGAAACATCTGAGGCAGAATATGAAACCCAAAGGCTCCCAATTCCAAGCGTCAGGAACTCTACCCCTACATTGCACTGCGTCTTCAAAAACATTTTGCACTGCTTACTTCGGGAGCAGAGTTTAAACAATTTTGAAAATAACTAAGGCCATCTCGGCTATATGTAGGAAAGGGTGAGCCTGCGCATGCCCAGATCACCCAATGCCTTAACTCTGGCACGTGGTGAAAGAAAGAGGCGAGCTCTTTAGGCCAGTTTTAAAGACCTAGGTGTTAACAGCCAATCAGAAGAGGCTGTCCCCACCCACGTGTGAGGAAAGGCAGCATTGGTCCCTCCATGCTGGGCGACGTGGGCATGCCCAACAAGTCACTTGACACCGTGCAACTCTTGGAAAGTTGTTTACTGGGGGAAAATTAACCAACCTTAACTGTGGGAAAAAACCCCCTATGCTCTGTATTGTTTGAACAGATATTAAATCTAACCTGCATTCTCTCTTTTATATTCAGTTTTAGTTGTCTGTATGATGTCACCTATGTCTTGTTAGAGGAATATATGTTCAGGGAGGACCAGCACTTCAAGCCCTTTGCAGGGCTGCTCATTTGCCTTTGGTTTCCTCCTGCCACCCAACTCTCACCTGTGGCTCCAAGAAGCTGCAGCGTGTGGCCATACCCCGGTAAACCTCAACAGAGAGGCTAAAAAGCATGTGAAGACTTCCTCCGGTGGCATGGGTGGATGAGAACAATTTGTTCCAGCAGCCATGAGAGTGGCTGAAGCAGGTGCTGTGAGGTGTTTAGAGCCTGGTCAGACATCAAAGACTCAAGGTCATCCACTGCATCCGGGCCATCAAGGTTGTCTTGACTTTTGACTTGCCACTGGACTTCAGCACCTCTGGAAAAGAGAGTGAGGCTAACGACTTTGCAACTCTGCCTAACTTAAATCCAATTCATAAGCAAGCTACAACAAACAAGCTTGTTAGAGCAGATGTTTTCTTAATTGTTTGTATTACTTATAGTTTATTAGTAGCCAATTAGAATAAAGCTTTCATTTGATGTTGTTGCTTTCTATATGAAAGACGCCTTACTGTAAACCATAATTAGAGTTTGTCCTCAGGGTTGTCTCACTGTGTATTTCTGTTGCATTGCTTGCAAGTAAAAAAAATCCTGTGACTCTGTCATCTTAAAGAGTATTTCCATCAGGTATCACAATACCTCACAGGGTTGGTGTAAGAAAAATGCTATGTAGAGAATTACGAATCTCTGGTCTGGAGGGTCAGGAAACTTGGGTTGTGATCTCAGCTCTGCCATTAACTTAATGAGTAAAAGCTAGGCAAATCCCTTTTCTCCACTTTGGGCACCAGCTTCTTCACCTGTAAGATGAACAAGTTGATTGATGTCCAAGGATGAACCAAACTAAAATACTCACCACTAGATTGGCGCTAAGCTCTGTAGCTGTGATGATCTGTCACTAAATAGCTCCCTTTGTGACCTCATGAGGCTGCTTCCCTGGTGACTTTTTTGAAGGGTTGATAAGAGGTAGGGAGCTAGGGATAAAAGCTCCATCCTCAGGCTTTCTGGGGGCTATTTTTTGCAGATTTAATGGGAATGGGGAAGCAAAAGTTGGGTTCCATCTCTTGTGATGATGAATTTTTTCAATTTTTGTTTAGGAACACAAAAGAAGGCAAGAAGGAAAAACCCAAGGTATATCTAGGGGGACTTGGGAAGAGGAAAGTGGTAACACATTAAAGGTACTAGGAAGGCAAAGAAAAAGAGGTGCTATATGGGCTTTACATTTTCAAAAATGTATGTTGATATCTATTGCTTTTATATCACTTTAATTTCCCAATCAGAGATGTGTCTACAAGATTTGCAGGGTATACCCAGGCACATCCTAATGTTTCAAAAAAAAAATTACTTTGCATTTCAATTTAATTGTATGATAAGCTCTTTTAAAGCATGGATTGTTATATTATGCATAAGTATGATGACTAAGTTTAATTAAAATTTAGTTTCTTTAATTTGATTAATAAAAAGTAATATACCTTATGGTTGAGTAGTCAATAGTTTATCTTTAAAAAATAAATAAAACTGCCTGGGTGCACACTAATGGAATGTGCTGCACTCAGCCTATGTTCCCAATAAATCCCTCCCCCTTCCAGAAAGTCATCCTTTCTAACAAAGGCCTTTTGCCATTGACCTCCTCCCCACCTGAGTCTGAGACCTAGAGCATTCTGAATCAGGATTTCCAGAATCTAGGCCCTTAGTCCTTTAGGAAGTTAATCCACTCATCTTTGAAGCTTGAACCCTAGGGCCCAAATAAGCTAAGAGATGACTAAGTATGTGCAAACTAACTAGCCTACTCAACCCACTATCTTCTCCTAGTCTGGGTAACAGACCTGGCTAGCCCATGTAATAGATCATGCTCAGTTTCACATCCCATCTAGTCAGCTGTCCAAGTCATTTTTCCCCTCCTCTGTTTAGAGATATAGATGTACATATACATATATGCACATACACATACATCTTTTTATATATACACATACATATATATTTATATATGTGTATGTATGTAATATTTCAATCAACAAAAATTTGCTTTTTTCTCCTTTCCCAACCCCAAAGCCTTAATTGAGAACAAAAGAAAAACAAAATCCTGTTACCAACATATACAGTCAGGCAAAATAAATTTCTGCATTGTCCACATCCAAAAATAAATACATGTCTCATTCTGCATTCTGAGTCCTTTACTTTTCTATCAGGAGGTGGGTAGTATGTTTCATCATTAGACCTTTGAAATTGTGATTGGTCCTAATTCTGATCAGAATTCCTAATTCTTTCAAAGTTGTTTGTCTTTATCATTTTATTGTCTTTTATTAATTATTCTCCTGATTCTGTTTACTTCAATCTACTTAAATTCACACAAGTTTTCCCAGGGTTTTCTGAAACCATCCTCTTCATCATTTCCTGCAGCATAGTAGTATCCCACCACATTTATTTAACTTGTTCAGTCATTCTCCAATTGATGGGTACCCCGTCAAATTCCTATTCTTTGCCACTTCGAAAGTTATTATTTTTGTACATCCTTACTTAGAATTTCTTTTGATTAGGACTAAATCCTTCCCTTAATCTACCTTCCTTTTAATTCCCTTTTCCCTCCTTTTCCCTTTCTCTTCTATTTCCCTGTTGAATGAAATATATTTCTGTACCCAATTCTGTATGTGTCTATTCTTCCCTCCTTTGACCAGTTCAGACGAGAGGCAGAGTTGGCAAGTAATCATTCTCTCCACAAATGAGGAGAGTCTTTAAATGCCCAGGCTTGAACGCCAGGTTACATCTGTGAGGGGGAGTGTTGATCAAAGTGAATGCCCACGTCAATCCCATCCACATACATATTTATAACTATATCTTTTTGGGGGAAATGATTTTGGACCTATGATTTTGTCATTCCCACTGTGGAAACTAATTCCAACCAATGCAGCTCTGTTCAAGTCTCCTGCAACTTATAGGCTTAGAGAGTTGCTTGGGAGCACTGAAAGTCTAAAGGACTTACCTTGATCACCTAACTAGTATGGAGAAGCTGTCCTTGTAACCACTGTACCACTCTGCCTCTCCTGGAGAAAATATAGTTACAAATTTAAAAGTGTAGAGTAGGATTTTGTTTTTGTTTTTGTTTTTGTTTTTGGTTTTTTTTTTTTGTTTGTTTGTTTTTTTGTTACTAAATCTCCCTAGTTCACCCAGGCTAGCAGTGAAACTGGCCTGATTCCACCACTAATTGACAGAAGTTCTGATCAGTGCTCCATTTCTGACCTGGCAGAATGGCATCTTCCTAGGCAGACTGGTGGCTTCTCAATCCCAGGGGCTCACCATTTTGGTGCTGGACTTAGTATGGACACCCCAATGGGTTTTAGACTATTGCAGCTCAGAACTCTAGAGTTCAAGTGATCCACCAGCCTCAGCCTCCCCCATAGCAGGGATTCCAGGAGTGGTCCACCAGGTCTAGCTGAGTTTTATATTTACAGAGCACTTTAACTTCAAACATCTTCAGTCTGATCTGCATAACCATATTGGGAAGTAGATTGTGTAAGTATTATCATGCCCATCTTAGTAGATGAGGAAACTGGGGCTCAAAGAGACTGGGAAGCATACAGTGCGGAATCTTTGGAGGAGCCTTAGAGATCCTGCCCTCTCGTTTTACAGTTGAGGACCCGGAGGCTCAGAGAACAAAAAGGACTTGATCATAGTCTTACACTGAGTTGGTGCCAGTCAGAATTTGAACACAGGTGTCCTGACTCCCACTCTAGGACTCCTTCCACTTCACCAGGCAGCCTGTGAAGTCAGTCAGTGTTTGGTGACTGTCTGCTGCAAGGACTTCTTATTAGGTGTGATGTATATGTGTGCTTTGGAAGTGAGGGAGCTGTACAATGTATGCATCTGGGTCCTACGGTGAAAAATGCAGATGGCACCTGCCTTGAAGATGCTTAAAGTCTAGTAGAGGGCATGACCTAGTGGAAAGAGCAAGCACCGGGTCTCACTGAAGTCAAAGGACCTTGTTTCAAATATCAGCTCCGTTGTGACCTTGGGCAAATCACTTCTCTGGGCCTTAGTTAACTCACCTATAAAATCAGAGAGTTAACTAGATAACCTAGATGGGCCTTTTCAGTTCTCAATACCATGTAAGAGGGCACCCAGATGCTTGAAATGAAATCAGATTTCCAGACCTAGACAAATTACTATGGCAAGGATCTGAAAGAACTCTGATGTGATCATGGATCCCGTTGTTGTTACTTTTTGCAAAACCAGAGGGACATGATTGCTGCTTAAATATTTATCTATCTGTCTTTCTATCTATCTATCTATCTATCTATCTATCTATCTAATGTACTATCACATGGATTCAGAAATAGACTTGTTTTCTATGGTTCCTAAGGGTAAAACTAGGATCCATTTGGGTAGAAGTTATTCAATAAATAGAAGAACTTTCTAATAGTCTGAGCTGTCTAACTATGGGATGGACTATCTTGAGAAGTAGTGAGATCCCCATTACTTGTGGTGTCCAAGCAGACATCCAGGTACACTGTAGAAGGGATTTGTGCATTGAGTTTGAATACAGACCAGATGATCTCTGAAGTTTTTTGTTTGTTTAAGTACCTACTCTGTGAAGAGTCCTGTGCTGGGTGCTGCAGAAAATAGAAAGTTTCAGTAAGACTTGGTTTTTGCTCTAATGGTCCCTCTCCTTGCAGAGAGATAGCCATATAATAAATAATAATAATAAGTGATCACTTTATTACAGAGGTTCAAATAAAATGCTTTGTGAGGTTCAGTGTCTTCCAAAGGTAAAGTTTCATGGAGAAGGTGGGATTTGAGTTCTTGTGAAAAGATGAGTGGGAAGAAGGAGGTGAGAGGGGAGCCTTCCAGGCATAGGAAAGAAATAGTGTGAACAGAGACATGGTGGTGAGAGTCCTCTTTTGGCTATGGGGTTCTATGACTTCTGCTGTTAGTGAAAAGGGTAATTTGATAAACTCATTCTTATTACAGTATTACTGACTTAAGCTAGCTCTGACAAGGGTATTTGCACTTTGAAAGAGGCTACAAAGAGAGGGCCAAGTTTAATCCAAAAGATTGGAATTTACTCCAAAAGATAGAATTTCTGGCACTGTAACAGAGGGCAAGTTCCATTTAGTTTCCAAAAGGCAGGGAACCACATCTTCATCATGCCCAGTGTAACATCTTAGCGAGATTTGGTGGCCATGACAATGGATTTGTTCATAGTCTTTGTATCCCCAGTGCTTAGCACTCAATAAAAGTGATTTTCACAATCATTTGATAAAAGTTTAATAAACACTTAATAAAAGAGCTTAATAAAAATAAAATATGCTTAATAAAAGCCTATTGACTTGAAATGAATTGAATGCTGACATGACTGTTTTCCTCGTATTTCCTATGGGTTCTTATAGAAACAGTTTCATCACTTCATTAAGGAGATCATCATCATGATTCGAGTGTGCAAGAGATTTCGTGAAGGCCTTCGTGGATTCCGGGAGTGTGAAATCATGCAGACCACAGATGAAGGGGACCCCATCTTCTCTGCATGGAATGTAAGGGAAGGGCCCCTGGGATCTGTGCAGTTCTTTCCGCTCCCCTCCAATGTCACCCTCTCAAATAGGGGATAACCCCTGACCCTCAGTAGAGGCTGACTCCCAAAGGTCCTGCTAAGTGGGAATCCATTTCCCAAAGACACTTTGCCTTTAAGCATCATGATGCAGTTGGAAGGAGGACTGAATTTGGAATCAGAGGACATTGCTTCAAATCCTAGCCCTGTCATTTGTTGTTCTCTATGTGGCCTTGGACAAGTGACTTAACTTCTCTGGAAACTTCTCAGTTTCCTCATTTATAAAATGAGCATGTTGAGCTAGATGGCATCTGATGGCCCTTCCAGCTGTAAATGTATGGTCCTATGATAATCCTGGAAATACAAGTGGCCTGGGAAGTTTATAAGCAGTTGATCTGTTCCTAAGCAATTCCAATCCATTCCATCTCTAAAATCTACTTTCTAAAAAAGATTGTTATCTTTTTGGAAGAATAGGTGGAACATACACAGAAGCATCTTTTCAGCTTGATGTAAAAAAAAAAAATCTCACAATTAGAGCTATCCCAACAAATGTTATGTGTGTAGGAAGAAGGTCTACAAGACTAATAAAAGCAAGAATGTTGTGGTATGATCAGGTGAAAGTCATCTCTTAGGATGGAGTTAACAGTTGGTAAATAGAAGACACATGTATGTTTATAGACACATGTATGTTTATATTTTGTTGGGTTGAGTTAAATCTTGTATGTTCATTTTAAGAATTCTTTTCATTGCCTGTACCTATCAATGGAAGTTAAAATAAAAATTGTATTTCAAACAAAAACAATTAGAGCTATTGAAACGTGAAATAGATTACCATGGATAATGAGCCCCTAGTCACTGGAGGAATTGGGGGAAGGCTTGTATGACCACTTGCTGAGGACATCGGGGGAGGTTCCTGTTGAGATTTAGCCTTGATTTGATCATCTCTGAGGTTCCTTCCAGCCCTACTATTCCACAATTCTGTAAATGGAGCATAGGAGAGATTGATAGCCAAGGAGAAGCAATCATTGAGTCTAAACTTTTTTCACAGATGAAGAAATTTAGTACCCAGAGAAGTGCCTCACCTGAGTTCACATGTGTAGTGAGTAGCAGGGTCTAGATTTGAACGGAAGTTCTCTGGCTCTCAATTCAACGCTCACTATACCAGACTATAGCCACATATAGCTTGGGTCCTCCTGGTTAGGTGCTAATAACTGAAATAGGATTGGTTGAAATTACAACCTGAGACATTAAAGTTACATATCACATTAGCCAATATTTTAGTTGCCCCCCCAATAGTGGATCCAGGTATGTTTTTAGAATATTAGGTGCAATTTTGGATGTATTTTGTCTCACTAATTTTTTATGCCTCCACACAGGGAAACTTTGGGAATGTAAGCCTCTAGCTCCTTTTTTTTTCTAACCCAAAGGGTCTTTAGCTCCCTTGCAAGCACTCAGTCTAACAAGACATCAAATACAGGAATGAAGGACAAAATTTTGTTTTGTTTTTTTAAATATACAAAAAAGCCAGAATTGTACATGGAAACCATCGAATCAACTCTTCTCCCATTTCTGGAGGGCATCAAGCAACCTTCACTTCAAAGTAGGGAATCTACTTTCCCTTGGGACTGACACAATATTCATGACTCAGAGTACCAGAAAAAGGATAATATACAGGTTGTTCCTCAGCACAAACCTGCCATGCTAATATTTCTGGTACCAACAAGGATGAAGTCTGAAGGTTTGTTTCTTCCTTTTGTTGGCTCTGTGCCTCATCCTCCTTGGTGCATATGGTTCCCTTCTGTCTTCTCCCTCTAATATCTGCAAGGGCAAAGTCTGTAGGTTTGTCCTTCCCTTTCATGGCCCATAGTTAGCATGGTAAAATGTGAAAAGAGCTCAGAAGAATTTTCTCACTGTAGGCCAGAGCAGACTAAATTCAAAAAGCGAGAATGTGAAGTGATAATTCAAAAGAAAAGCTTAATGCCCCAGGGCTCTTCTGATTGGCTGGTTGACTGACCAGGTAGACTGTGGGTCTAAATATCAAAAGAATTAAGAGAGCACCTGGGAGTAGGCCCCTCTATCAAGGAGAAGGCCACAAAGAGCTGCAGATGGCAGCACATGGAGACCCAGTATGGAGCAATTTCTTCAGAAAGGTGATGGTGCTGCAGAGAGAATTTGTTTAGCAGAGTTCCAGCCTCACATCACCAGCCAGCAGAGATAACGGCACCTCCAAGTGGGAAGCAACAGCATCAGAAACAAAATGGTATTACAGAGCGGATGCTGGCTTAGGAGCTAGCATGAGTTGCCCCGGCTATGCATGTTCACTGATCATGTGTGTTTCTTATGTGTGCTCTCTTTTGCACAAGTGTGATAACCTGTGTGTACACAGGAAAGGGAATGTTCATTGTTGTTACTGTTATCATTATTTTGGTATTTTGCTATGCTATTAAATATTTCTCTAACCTAGTATTTTCTGGTTGGTCTGGTAAAAGAAAAATATGTAGGGGACTGTGAACTCTGTGGATGTTGACTCAAAGTTTGACTGGAAACTAGAAGTAGCTTTCAGGGGCCCATGATTGAAGGTGGCCTGGGCTACATTGGTAGTTTATTTGGTTTTCCTTTTTTAGGGGTACTCTACCTAGCTTTGTGAGGATACTTTTTTCCTTTTTTCTTTTTAATATTCATTTTCAAAAATTTTGAATTCCAATTTTTCTCCTTTCCTCCTTTTCCTCCCCCACCCTTTCAGAAGACAAGCTATATAACAATTATGCATGTGAAGTCATACAAAATGTATTTCCATATTAGCCATGTTGGGGGAAAAAGCAAAAAAAAAAAGCAAGCAAAACAAAGTGAAAAAAGTATGCTTCAATCTGAATTCAGAGTTCATCAGTTCTCTTTCTGGAGGTAGATAACATTTTTCATTATTATCTTAAACAGAGTAGCTGAGTCTGTCACAGTTGATCATCCTTACATAATTGCTGTTATTGTGTACAATATTCTCCTGGTTCTGCTCACTTCATTTTGCATCAGTTCATATGTTTTCTCAGGTTTTTCTGAAACCATACTGTTTGCCATTTCTTATAGTACAATAGTATTCCATCACAATCACATACCACAACTTGTTCAACCATTCCCCAATTGATGGGCATCCCTTTAGTTTCTAATTGTCTGCTATCACAAAAAGAACTGCTATAAATATTTTTGTACAAATAGGTCCTTTCCCCCTTTTGGGGGGATCTCTTTGGGATACAGACCTAGTAGTGGTATTGCTGGGTCAAAGGATATGCAGTTTTATCACTTTTTGGGCATAGTTCCAAATAGTTCTCCAGAATGATTAGAACAGTTCACAAATCCATCGAAGTGCATATTAGTGTCCCTATTTGTCCACATCCTCTCAGCATTTATCTTTCCTGTAAGGATATTTTTGAGATTTTCCTCCATCCCCCTTCTCTAGACTTTTATTGGACAGCCTGGTTTTTCAATGTGATTTTTTATAAAATCAGCCAATTGTTTTGGTCTAATTGTTATACCATTGTGTGCAAAGGGCATTGAAGTGATTTTAAAAAAAATACACATTTTTGGACTATTGCTGCACATTCCAGTTGGTACCCTTTCAGGGGAATTTACCAACACTGAAGGCTATTTGGTAGGAGTAACCACCTTTTGACTATCCTGATACTGTATGGCCTTTATAATATGGGTAGGACCCATTGGAAAATGAATGAATAAAAAACCACTAAGTATTTACTATGTGCAAATACCGTGCTAAGCACAAGGTATACAAATAGAAAAAAAGCAAAGACAGTTCCTGCTTGAGAACATGGAACTTCATGCTCCAATGGAAGAGATAAAACATATAAAAGCAGGAAACTGTAAGTCAGATAGAAAGATCCCATTATCATTGGGTGCATTGGCAAACTAAATAATAGTGTTATCTTTTTCTTTTCCTTTTTTCTTTTTTTTGTTGCATTTTGGTGAGGCAGTTGGAGTTAAGTGACTTGTCCAGGGTCACACAGCTATTACGTGTGAAGCGTCTGAGGTTGGATTTGAACTCAGGTACTCCTGACTCCTAGGCCAGGGCTCTATCCACTTTGCCACCTAGCTGCCCCGATCATGTTATCTTTAACACCATTTCTGCTGATATAATCATATCCATTTCTGATATCTAGCCATTTGATAGTGGCAAGGCCTTTGGTTGAGAGAACTTTCCATTTCATGGCAATGGCTGCTGAAGAAATGGGAGCTGCAGTCCCCATGAAAGCATTTGCTGGGTCACATCTTTCAAAGATTGCTTCCTGGATTGATGACTCTGAAGATGATAGACCTGCAGATGCTGCTGGATTACCAGTTGGTAGTGTTGTAAGTGCTTGATGACACCTTGTGAATTTTTTTCCTTTTTTCTCCTTTTCTTACTGGTTGCTTTAAAAAAACAAAAAACAAAACAACAACAACAAAAACTAGTCTGCTTATCAGTGCCCCCTTCTAAACTTCCTTCTGTTCTCTTCTGTATATTAAGAAAAAATATTTCAATGGCCCTCTTTTTTTTAGCATCCCTATTGATAAACTCTTTTTCCCTGAATTAGAACCTGAGAGGAATTTTGGTAATGAACAAGCGAATGAACAAGAAAAATAAATCCACTCAGTAGCCATCCAAAAGTGTATATTATTTTCTGCACTGTGTCCCTCACCTATCAAGCGATGAAGAACCCTGGTCCTCTGGAAACATGGTTTCATTGATTAGATCTCTTAGGTCTTTCAAAATTTTTCTTCATAATGTTGCTGTTCCTTGTATAAATTGTTTCTGAAATAATATATTTTGCTATATCTTATGGCCCAGTAATATTCCATTACATTCATATACCCCAATTTGGCCAACCATTTCCCTATTATATAAAATACAATTTAAAGCACCCCCTTAGATTTTAGCTCTTTTTTCTTTTTTTAATTCCTCCTTCAGGAACAGGAAGTTATGCTTATGACCATTGCTTC